GGCTGTTTCTCTCTCCTTTCCCCCGCGGAACGCAGATATTGTTTGACTTGCTTTGAAAATGGGCCTCGCAGGTTAACAGCAGGCACCAGCTGCCAGTTCTTAATTTTTGCCACTTTTATCAATTACGGGAGCGCTGGTTTCTTGGCTGATGGTGCAGTGCCTTCTGTGGAATCGTCGTTCGAATGTCTCGCTATTGTTTTCAGGTGGAGGGAAGAATGGACGTTCAAGGAAGGGTCGCGGAAGGGAGAGCTGGACAAGGCTCGCGCCCGCGAGAAGGTGAAAGGCTGGTGGATGGACATGCGTGCGGAGTTAGGACAACGGTCCACGGCGGGTGAAGGATTTGGTCTTTTCCGATTCCCGTTAGAACTATTTGCGCAAGAAGCCCACCTCCGTGTTTCGACTGGTATTTTGTTGGTAGCGGCCTTCGTGGGGACGCATTGATTTTCTACTGCGGTGGATGTTGGGTTAAAAAAACAATAAAACCCGCCCCGCCCAGACGACCGTCTACCCTCCCGTGTCTCATCGCCTGGTCTGTTTTTTTTGTTCGGGTGCGGCGGGTGGGTTTAGCATTCCTGCTTGCCGGGTGCTGTTGTTACAGAACGAAAGCCCACCCCCCGTCTTGTTTGTTTTTTTTAAAATATTTTTGTCTGCAGTAGTGGTAGTTGGTCGACAAACCGGCTCCGTCCAGACGACCGTCTGCCCTCCTCTGCTCCGTCCTCTGGTCGATTTTTTTATGGGGAGGGGGTGGAACGGGTTCAACGGGCATATGTGTCGGGTGCTATTTCAGTCCAGTAGCACACGACCCCTCCAGTTATTATTTTTATATTTTTTCGGTCATACGCACGCAGCGGTGCTTTACTTTTCGAAACATTCGCTCCTTCCTGGTTTGTTTTGACGTCGGGTGCGGGCACACGTGTCGCGTGCTTGATTCATCGGTACCTTTCTGACATAGTCCCTTCACGTACGTTGTGTGCTGTGTGAACGTTGTTAACGTAGGCGTCGCCTATCGCTGGTGGTGTCTAGAACGCGTTTGGTCTCCGTTGGGGAAAGTTGGGACGGTCAGAAATTGCTTTTCCCGAAACCCAACTCCTTACATATATAGTAACCCCTCTTTTCATGCCATCTCATGTAAACGTGCCGTGCTTGTTTTCCAGGACGCTAAGAAGAAGAAAGAGAAGAGTGGGAACAACGCTGAACACTACTGGTCCTTCTGTAACCAGAAGCTGTACGTCCTGCTCATGATGGACTGGTACGAGCTGAGGGGTGGCGACAGCGCGAACGAGCACTGCGCAAGGTACTTCAGCGTGAGGCTCAGCGAGGAGGATGGGGAAGCTTTCAACACTCTGTCCATGGAAGACGAGCAGTCGTCCAGCGATTCGGATGAACCGCCCGCTCCGAAGGGGAAGCCGCGAGCGCGGAAGGCGAGGGAGAAGGGGAAGGTCAAACCGGAAGAAACCTTGGTCCAACTTGTGGACCATTCAAGACCACATCAAACAACATTGCAGCTGCAATGAACAAGATTGCGGACAACGACGCCGAGAATCCCGTGGGTATGTTGATTGCTGCCAGCGATCGCCTTGATGACGGTGACGAGAGGTTGGAAAATGCGAAAGAAGAAGGAGCGTCCAAAAGAAAAATTGAAAGGGTCACTCAAAACCTCGCAGTAGCGCAGGAGGAGTACGACAAAATCTACAAAAAGACCAGGCCTGCTGCAGAGAAAGCGGCGGAGGAAGAGGAAGAAGATGAGGAAGCGAGTGAAGGNCCGAGAATCCCGTGGGTATGTTGATTGCTGCCAGCGATCGCCTTGATGACGGTGACGAGAGGTTGGAAAATGCGAAAGAAGAAGGAGCGTCCAAAAGAAAAATTGAAAGGCTCACTCAAAACCTCGCAGTAGCGCAGGAGGAGTACGACAAAATCTACAAAAAGACCAGGCCTGCTGCAGAGAAAGCGGCGGAGGAAGAGGAAGAAGATGAGGAAGCGAGTGAAGGTTCGTAGCGATTTGTCGTGAAGGCCCTTCGGACGAATCAAACCCGACTTCTTCGAACGACGCATGAAGAGGATGTCTTGTCGTTTTGGGTTTGATTCACACGGCATAGGTTGGGTACATGCATTTTTCTGAGTATGGCTAGTTTTTTTTCCGTTGTGTGCAGCACGAAGGTAGGGCACTGCTCGTATGTTCCTTGAGTGTGGAGGGCGCATTGCTTGATCCACCCCTCCAGCATGTTTTTCTTCTTTCGGTTTCCGCGGGGGAACATGAGAATTTCGTTTTTCAGTGAGGGACCAGAGTTTCTCTATCGCGCGTTATGTGCAGGCGTTTGTGGCTGCCGGAGAGCTGAGCCCAGAGGCCAGAGACATTGGTTCGGAGGGTATTTCATTTTTGCCACTTAGTTTCGAAAAGACTACTGGGAACAAAAAACAAATTTTGCGTGGTGAACATTCATCATATGAAGGTTGAGTACGCCCAACCCGTGAAAGATGAGTACGCTCACCCCCTTGATGTCAAAAACGCGGCTCTCGCGGCCTCTGTGAGGTTTATCGTTTCTCAATTTATCTCTCTTGTCCAAACATCAATGCCCTGCGGGGCACACTCGACCAAACGGGAAGAAACATACAAACATAAAAGCAGGAAACATGCCACCGCAAAAAAATAGGGCAGAGAAACCAGGCACCACGCCAGACAGCGAGGTCGCACAAAAAGTATTTCGGGTAATCTCATATCTGCCTCATGGAAGAAAATGACAATCGATTTTTTCGTCGTAATCATTAATAAAGAAGAGTGCCCCCAACACTCGCTTCTTATCATGAGTCTGCACCGCGGAAACTTCTACGTTTATCTCCCGTGCCCTGTGTTAGGTACCCAATGAAAATCTGGCGGGTTGTAGCGGACAATGACCACTCTCCCTCCCTTTGCTTGACAGCTTCAAAACCACCACAAAAGAAGCCCATCCGATCCATCACGAACATGTTTTTTTTCTGTTATCGATACCCTCAACGGAACACTCCCCCAACGTCCAACCCGCACCTTGCCGTATGACACGCTGTTTTGACAAACGGAACATCTTACCAATGCCTCTCGGCCTGCTACCAATCCTGTGATCCAGCTCTCCGAAAAGCAACCCCACCTTGTGCGCCTTGACCAATCTCCCCCCCCCCCCCCTGTCCTAGTTTATTCTTCGCCGGTGTCACGACGAGTGATAGCCGTCCTCCATCGCCTGTTGCGCGAAATGTTTTCCGCCGGCCGCATGAGAGTTCTATTCCTCCTCCCTGATGTTCTCGCGATTCTGAGAACAGGCCGCCGGGGTCCGTCTCGACGATGGTGTTGCCCAGCGGTTGCTCCTGATGGTACCGTCCTCATTCAAGAACCTGGAGGTGGCAGATGGCGGTTCAGAACGACACCTTCGGAGGTAGTTGTGAAGCCGAGTGATAGCGTGCACAACGCTCGCGGTGTTGCGCAGAGGTACCTGCAGCGGGCGCCACAGAATGGGCCACTGCTTCATCTGCAACATGTAGGGGGAGGGCGGGGAGTGGGGGGGCGTTCAGGCATGAAGTTAACCCCAACCTCTCTCTGTACTTTGCAGTAATGTTTGTGCGATATCTACCGATCTAGAAGTACTTCGTAATAACCTTTGTTCTCGTCCTAAAACAAAATAACATGACCCAACTTGTCACCAATCGTGTATACCATTCCAGGCAGGCTCATGATCCCGTGATATGCCCACGAAATACCTNTTCTCGTGCTAAAAATAAAATAACATGACCCAGCTTGTCACCAATCGTGTATACCATTCGCGAGCAGGCTCATGATCCCGTGATATGCCCACGAAATACCTACGCCAACACTCACCATGATCCCGAAGGTCTGCTCGATGCATATGCGCCCTTGCGACTGGAAGAAGTTGAAGGCGTCTTGGTCTGCGTTGAGGTCGCATCCTGGGTACGGTACAAGCATCTTGTCCGTTGCCCCGTAAGCCGAATCTCCCACGACATAGTCGCCTGGAAGACTCTCGACAAGCTGGTCAAACTCGNATGCGCCCTTGCGACTGGAAGAAGTTGAAGGCGTCTTGGTCTGCGTTGAGATTGCATCCTGGGTACGGTACAAGCATCTTGTCCGTTGCCCCGTAAGCCGAATCTCCCACGACATAGTCGCCTGGAAGACTCTCGACAAGCTGGTCAAACTCGACCTCCTTGTATGCCTGCCGATCGTTGGTGCTTCCCGGGGTGTTGCAGCAGGCGGCAGTGACGATGTAATCCGCGTCGCAGATCACCTGAGTCGGGAAACAGGTGGTGCATTCTGTAAGCGCGTGCGCACTTCAGCTGGTTCATGAACAGCAGTCCAAGGATTCATCGTGCGCCCCTTCCCACAGAAAAGAGGCCCCTTCCCACAGAAAAGAGGGAGAGGCCGTTTTTTGTTACATGTTCCTCGATGTCCAACGTACAGAACGCGCCCGCAAGTAAGAAAATTTTTAAGTAGGAAAATCAAGCTCAGATTTTGGCGAAAGATGAGAAATTCCGGCTAAGAAACACAGCTCAATCTTGGGAAAGAAGTAAGAAACACCCCAATAAGAAACTGAGGGCAGGTTCTCTCCAAACCACAAGAAACGAGNTCGCAGATCACCTGAGTCGGGAAACAGGTGGTGCATTCTGTAAGCGCGTGCGCACTTCAGCTGGTTCATGAACAGCAGTCCAAGGATTCATCGTGCGCCCCTTCCCACAGAAAAGAGGCCCCTTCCCACAGAAAAGAGGGAGAGGCCGTTTTTTGTTACATGTTCCTCGATGTCCAACGTACAGAACGCGCCCGCAAGTAAGAAAATTTTTAAGTAGGAAAATCAAGCTCAGATTTTGGCGAAAGATGAGAAATTCCGGCTAAGAAACACAGCTCAATCTTGGGAAAGAAGTAAGAAACACCCCAATAAGAAACTGAGGGCAGGTTCTCTCCAAACCACAAGAAACGAGGTGCAGTAGAGAGAGCGTGAAAAATAAGAAACGGCCGTTGACGTCCAGTGACAATCCCTATTACCCCTTGTAGGTGAAATTTGTTGGTGTGTGGGTATGGGTCGCTGTCTTTTATGCGAACTCCCCCCGTGCCGCGCGGTCCGCACGTGGTGCGTGGTGGCCAAGTGTGGCCTGATTTCACAGTTCTGATGAAGACAGACAGATGCGGGCGTTGGTGCGTGGGTGCTGGAGGTAGAGCAGGAGGAGGCAAGGATCAGGACGTCTAGGAGGCGACAACCCCGAATGTTCGCCGCACGGAGCTTTCGGCGTAATGTCGGAATGGCTGTTGGGTCCCTCTCTTTCAACTACTTCGTGTGGTTTGTCTTTTGGAGAATGCCACTACTGTACGGCACAGTGGAGGGAAAGCCACATCAGTTCGTTTTCTATTGCGCGATTGATTGTCGTCGAGGTGTGTGCCTGGGTCATGGCGAGAATTACTGTGTGAGAGATGGTGGCAAGGTCTTGATTTCAAGCAAAAGACAATCAAATGCAGCGAGACGCAAGAACCACGGCAGCTTCCCGCGCTAGACACGGAGACGGGTGACGGCTTCAACGTCGGCGGGACAAACGGTACATATTACAAGAAACAAGCAAATCCTGCAAGCAAATCCTGCAAGGCCAAAAAATTTGTCTCCACGGAAGTGTGTGATGGCAAGGGCGGGTGTCATGGCGTGATTGTGTTCCCCAACGGTGTACTGCAGCGGGTTAAGAAGGAGAGGGGATTATTTTACACATTTTGATCCACCCAAACAACACAACGCAAACAGCAGTAGTACGGCCGTTATTTGTTGTTTCTACAACAAGTAGTCTGCTGTTGACCGGTGTACACAGAGAGAGTCAGTCTACTGGTAGGTTCGAATTATGTAGTTTTCGCACCTGGTAGTTCATGCCCACTGTCATCTTGTGCCCTGAAAAGAACCGATCTGGACAAGGGCGTTCGGTGATGCTAGGCTTCTTGCGTCGTACAAGGAGTCCATCCAATGCTCCCACACAGCGCTTCAGGACAGGGTCAAGGTGGGAACTCCGAGCAGCAAACCCCTGCGCCTTCGCTTGAAGCTCCCGCTCCGTTCTCGGCCACTTTTTCCGAAGCCTCCCACAGTCGTTGATGGCGTCCAGCCCTTCCTTGATCTTCGCAAATGCTGTGCTCGTGGCCATGTGGGGACCATCAGCCGCAGCGCTGACGCCGTGCCCTGCGAGCCACCGCAACATGCTAGCTAGCGCCCACTCCCCAGCTATGGTGCCGTTGTGGCGACGCCCTTCGGGGCTATGGCCGGCTCATTCTCACGCATGCTCCACGCCGGGTGCGGACGACTTGAAACGCGCAAGCCAACGCTGTCGTCGCGGCGAGGCACCAGAGAGCAGCTGCTGTAACGATTCGCACCCGTGTATTGCGGCGAGCGACGACGGTACGGCGTGCACCCACTCCAGTGCGAGGCCGAACCACCGTCATCGGGAGTCGTGGCCCTGCGTCTCGTCGTGTGCCTGGTACCTTGTGCAGCGGGCGGCAGCACCAGCTTCCTCCCGTGAACGACCGCAATATGTGTGCCCCCGGTCTGTTCGATATATTTCGCCGCAATTCCTTTGGTCTTTTCTCCGCGGCGGCGTATTTGGGTAGACCCAAACTACGAAATCAAAAATCAAATCCGATTCATTTTCGATTTTTGATTCTGCACTTTTTTTGGCAAGACCCACCCTCATGCTTCGCTCTCAATTTCACCAATATGTTGTTGTTCGCGTTCGCCGATGTCATCGCCCCGCGTAGCGACCTTCGGGTCCCCAGCAGCTGGTCGTCAGACCACACAGTTGCTGCTGTCCTCGGACAGTGCTCGTGCCGCTGACCCTTTTGCTGAAGCCACTCGTTTTTCAGAGCTTCGCGCTCAACGTACACAGGGGAGGTGTTCGATATATTCTCGTAGCATAGCATGGGAGTGGTATATTGCGTATGCATATGCGGGATTTGCAGTGACGAACTACGGAGGAACAAGAAGTTTCTTTATGTTTTCCTTGGGAGTAGGGTAGATTGAACAGCGGATTGTATTTATTGAGAAAAAAATTGTAAATGAGAAAATGTTTGGGCAGGTTGGCGCACCAAAAGTGCCAAACAATTTATTATTCTCGCTCCAACGAAAAACATCCTCGGGCGTCTTCCAAATCGAACACACGCCCTTTCGCCCGAGCTAACACCATCGGCAACGCCGAAAATCACGATAGTTCCGCCACTAAGGACCCCAAACCGCACCTGATTCAACACCCCCACCCCCCCTACCCCCCGGGCAGACCCAGATTTCTAACGAGTTCTTACGCGTGTTTTCCGGTCAATTTCGATAGATTCCCTGACGCACTAGCAAAAAATAAAAATCTGAGCACACGGCACTTCGAAAGTTATGTTACTATGATGGAAAGACCCACAGCCCCTACGACAAGATTTGGGTACAGAGCTCGAAGTTGACAAATGTTGACCATCTTACGGCGCAAAACCGCTAGTACAAATCTTCTTGATCCCCAGAACGCCCCGGTCTCGACATCAATCTAGTCCCTGCTAGGCGCCAGGACTACTCTGAACCATAGCCGTCGTCATCGGACTCGTCTTCCTCAGAGTCCGCTTCCAGACCCGTCGTCGTCCGAGTCACTTGCTTCGCTCTCCGAGGACGACGAAGGTGCAGGCCGGCAAGTCTCCATCACCACTTTCTTCATTCTCGCCGGGATGTTACCCGTTGAAGTTAGCGAACTGCAGCATGCGACAATGCGTGTGATAGGCTCGTCGCTGGCATCGGGCGTTCTGCGCTTCGCACCGCTCGTTAGGATGAAATCGAACGACTTTGCGCGGTGCCGTATCAGGAGCTCAGTCGCGCTGCCCGCTCCCGCCCTAACACGGTATTGTTGATAGGCCCATACCAGTGCATGTTGACGTTCACCGGCGAGGCGTCTGCAGCTATGCTCAGCACCTCCCCCAGCACAAACGGAGCTTCCTCCGCCTTGAAGAATGCGATGTCGCCAACGCTGGGTGGTGTTAGCGACGTTGGACGCACTGGGTTTAAGGCCTTTCTCTTAGAGGGCTCTGACACCCCGTTCGCCCGAGAGGGTGTGTTGTCCACTCCGTCCGCGGTCGCGCCCGCAGAGGGAGGCAAAGGCGCTGGCGGGATCGCCGTGTGGAGCCATTCCATTGGGAGGTCGAAGTTGTTGATCGTTCCTCCGGAGCGCAACAACTTCAGCGAGTCGCTCTGCTCAGCCAATAGAGCGTCGACCACACCGTCAGGAGCTGCAGAGAAAGTGAGGTTCATGGAGGGACACGCAAGCGAGGGCGCGATGAGATGGCAGTATCAACGTTTACAAGTACGTAGATGTTGTGGGTCATGAGGTCTCCGAGACGAGAACAAGTAAAATCGTAAGATACTGAGACCAAACATCCCATGAAAATGACTCGTTGATGTCCTCCGAGCGACCGTAGCTCCGAACGTGTTTTCTTCGTTGTCAGAATGGTTTAGCCAGGGAGGTAACGACAATGTTACATTCGAAAGGTGTAACCACTCTCATGCTCTGTGAGGCCGAGCGAAGCACGACCATACTACACATGTGCACGCCCCTTACCTAGTGCGTAAGCAGCCTCTAGGCGGGGCCGCGTCGCGATGTAGCGCTTCTCGATGAGGGCGATCACGGTGGGGTCGACCGTCTTGAGCTCAAAAGGAGGCACGTTGTCGAAAGTCGGCGCAGCGAACCGGAAGAGACGGTGTGGGTTGGCGTCGACCTGGGCCCCGCCGGTCGCTGTCAGACCAAGCCAGGCATCGCTGTGCATGAAGCGCTTGGCCCACACGGAAACCTCCCCTGCAACCTTCCCCACTCGGAAGGCCCAAAACTTGGTGACGTTCCGGATCCTCCGAAGGTTGAGCTTGTTGTCGTCGAGGTAGAGCCCCTTGAAGTTGCCGAGGTTGGTCAGAGTCCCTACGTGTACCGGAAGTTCCTTGTACGACTCCCGGAATCGCTCACCAAGTTGACTCCTCGTGAAGATGCTTCGACCGAGGGTACCCACAGAGAACCTGTAGGTTTGAGTGGGAGTCGTCAGGGCGAGGAGCTCAACCAGGACCACGAAGTAAGAAACACCCCAATAAGATATTGCGAGCAAGACCGCTCCACCATCATGGGAAACGAAGTTAGGTAGAGCGAGTGTGAAAATATTAAACGGCCGTTGAACTCCAGTACCCACCCCTACCCCTATATGTGGGTAAGAGTTTTTGTTGTATCGGGCATGGGTGGCTGTCTTGGATGTCAGGCAAATACAGCGATACGCATGAACGCACCGCAGGTGGCTTCATTAGACTCGAGGGCGAATGGCGGCTGCAACGTGGACGTGGGCTACCTTTTTGGGGGTTGTTTACAAGGTAACCCTCAATATCCCGCAAGGCCCCAAGAAATAAGAACTGCCCAAACAAGCTCAGCAACGAGGCTTGGGCTTCGACCAACAATAGGAAACTGAGGCTCACCCCATATCATACTTGCGGGCGTGTTCTGTAATGTAAATCTTGGATTTCATGGGGGGGACGATATTGAATGCTGGAAAACCGGGGGGTACGCCCAGAAAGCGATCCTCCACCGGGGGGGGGGGCAGCAGGGTGGCCAAACAAGGGGCTCCGATGTTACAAGGGTACTCACCGAGAAAACACTTGGTCGATTTTGATGTGCGTGTGTCCAACGATCAGGAAGCAGACCTCTGCAGAACCGATCACCCCGGCGGCGACCAATCCGCCAATGAAGGCCAGGACGATGTTGTTCTTGTTTTCGCCGACGCAGTTATCTGAAGGTGGAGACGCTTGATGTAAAACCTCTGGCCAGGCTTGGTCCACATTGCAGACAGTCGTTTGAGGGCCAACCACAGCGCCGTGCACACCAGGTTGCTCCCTGGAATACCAGACAAAGACAACCACATGAAATATGAACGGACGGTTCAGGGGAATTATGGTCCCCACCAAGCCTGTATCGTTAGTGAAATAACCTACTGTTTCGTTAGTGATTCATCTGTGCACAATGGCTGGCTCAGGGACCTTGTGCGGTTCCGCCTGACACGTCTTTTTGGCACTGACAGCTAGGTTGCACATATTCACGGCTCCCTTGGAATTTCAAAGTGGCCCATTGGGTGACCAGCTGTGTAGTTGAGGCCTCCCTGCGACACCCGCACATGAGGTAACTGCCAGAAGGGGTGCCTTGATGCAGGTTTAAAGCCTCTCACCTCCACCTGTTGTCTGCGGGACGAAATGGACGTCCACGAACGCCCCTTCTGCGTGGACGTCCATGACCTTCTGCCGCTCCGAAAAGCCGCTGAAGTTGTGAACGCGAACGGTTGTGCAGGAAGGCGATGATAAGATTGCAGTAGTCGTCACAATAAACAAGGTCCCGTATTCCCTATCCAGTACCTCCTTCTGTCACAATCTCTCTGCCATAATCCAGCATTGTTCGCGGTCAATTCCCGTGGTCACAGGCTAACGTGCATCAAAAGAGGTATCAGCCACAAGTATACGTCGTACTAAAGCATAATGAACCCGAAAGGTCAGCACAGGGATAAAATAAGATAAAAGAACAAGAAGATGAAATAAAGAGCAAGTTTGGAGCCGTCCAACCTCCTCTACACGCGGTGAGGTGAAAATAAAAGGGAAAATAACTGGAACCCGTCAATATCATCAAAGTATGTCGACATATAGATGGATGACAACTCACTCAACAGATGGTGAGATGTTGGAGATGGGGTGAACGTTTATCGACCCATTGTGATTGAGCTTACACGAATCGTGACACCGTTGCATTGGACCAAAATAACTTGTCAATGGCTGTCATTCCATCTGAACCGCAGCGTGCCACTACGAACTAAGGTACTGTTCTCGTGTCACGTACTTGTTTTGCCAAGAGACGACCGGAGTACAATCACGAGGGAACCAGATCACTTGCCTCTCAGACGCGTGAGTTTGAGGGTGGACGGTCCCTAACGCGTAGCGAATCTGGCAGGCACAGTCTTGTTGAATGGTCACTTGGTTTAGCGGGGTTCCGTTCGCCTGCTCTCGTTTGGCGGCCTCCATGTGTGACGTCAGGAGTTCTCTGTCCTTCGACACGATCTGCGTCGACGAACGTCGAGGATAAGGCACGTTCATGTAGCCGTCGTGCGGCTTTATGTTGGAAGAGTATCACAAACAATCCATTCCTACACGAACAGGGGAGAGACCACGACACAGGGTTCGCGTGACTCCGTAAGATAAACTTGGATAACGTTCAGGAGCTCTTCGACCTCATGTTAGATCGCCACGGGCCCCTGTGGCGGACGTGAACCAAAACATATTATGTTCTAATCACATCCCAAGCGATCGCGAAAAAGAAGAATGTCCGCTACCACCGGCGGCGAGCGCGGTGAGGGCGTCTACTGGACAACGGAGGCGTCGGTGTTTCCACGCCGCGCAGGGGAGAGACGGAAGAGTCAAGAGGAGGAAAGCTAGCGTAGGCGCCAGCCTGTGCAAGCGGCCTATCATGAACGACGCCAAACACATCAACACCATGACCATGGGTTGCTCATCAAACGTAACCAGGAGGGGGGCATTCACGCGGGACAGGAATCAAAATCGGGGCAACCGACAACTGTAGGGCAACAAACTATTACGGGAAAGTGCCGACAGGCGCGTGTGTGCTTGTTTTGTGGCCGCCTGGTGTCCCTGCCGAACTTACATGGTGGTGTTCCTTTTGGTGACGAACAATCTCCGCCCTCTGCCGGGTGTCTTGGATCGGTCTGATGCCGGGGGCACCGTGCAGTTTCTCGTTGATTTCTGTGCAGTCGCTACATTTCATGAAATCCCCAAACCTCGCTAGCTTGATCAACGGTCTCTCTTCTCGCCATATCTGATTGAAGTACGGCCTGCTGAATCCTGAGTCGACCTCTCCGTGCACATGGCGTGTGTGCTCCGCAAAACGGGCGTACATCTCCTGCAGAAAGGTGTGGTACATGCGATATGGTTAGACCTTGATCATCGCCCCGACTCGCGAAAGCAAATACGAAGTACACTCGCGCACTCGTGGGGGTGGGGGTCCTCCTGTTATTAGAGTTGGCGCCCGCGATTAATAAATTATTTTTGGAGAAATAGAGGCACACTTTTCCGTGAAAAATAAGGAAAGAGGGTTAAGAAACATGTCTCCGTCTGGGTCACACACAAAGAAATGTCTCAATAGGAAACATCGGCGACCGCTGCCGTACTACACAAGAAACGAGGGGTTACGGGAGAGTGTGTCGAATAAGAAACACCCCACAGCTCCTCCTGTCTCTCGCTCTTTCCCCCTCTCCCACTACCCCCCCCCCCTCTCAAGTGCATTATTAATAGTTGTACGACGAGGGGGGAGTGTGTTTTTTTGCGGCGCCCCCTCCGGCCACCTGCCGGCTCTGTCGCTCTCTGGCGACCCGGCTCTGGCACAGCACGCCAGGCAGCAGGCGAACCACGATATGCTGTCTGCTGTACGGTTTAGATGGTGCTCTCCGTCAGCTCTCGTGAGCAGGCAGAAAACAAGAAATTGCCGATTTAACAAATGCAGCAGGATTTGGCGGCATGAAAAAATAAGACACTTGGCATAAGAAATAGAACGACATACGATGAGTTTAGAGCCCGCAATAAGATTTCGAGGCTGGACCTGAAATAAATAAGCGTTTCTTATTTGCGGGCGCTAACTGTACTCGAAATTGGGACCTGCGGAGAAATCAACTACGCAGTCGACACTCGATTAGCGACGTGCTTGGGCGTGCGGTAATAAGTTGTGGGGGCGGGGGATTCGTTGTGTTGTTGTCTTCTTCGGAGGTACCATACTTCAGTTGCGAATCCCAAGGATCTAAAGACTGTGCGGGTGGTATGGAAGAAATGCAGGAATATTCAGCTTAGCCTTGGGTCATTTCGTCCGATCTACATGCAACAGGGTTTTCGCCTGATTGAGAGCGGAGTATACGATTGAGAGCGGGAGCCAAAAAAATTGAAATTTCGGGTCCAGACGCCTCTTGCCATTTCTTGGGAAGTAGGGGGCGGGCTCTTCCAAGAAGCGGCGCAAATTGAAGGTCTCATCAGCAGCGTCACGAGCATATGCGTGTCATCGCGATCGGATGCTGCAGCTAGGAGCTAGACAAGTTGCTAGATTTCCCCAGATTGGCTATTCCTGCCTCAAACTGTTTCAGGGCGGTTTGATCGCGGGCGGTGAGCTCTGCTGTAGATTCTGCTCCCCGCTGTAGCTCCACAACGAGAGACGCCCACAGGATGACCAGGGTATCGGCTTGTAGCTACGGGCTAGGCCTTCAATTCAAGTCACGCAGCAAGCGCCACCTCTCAGCGGTACTCCAGCTACAGCGCATAGCGCAATCTCGCTCTCAATCAGAAACTTCGCTCTCAATCACACGAAAACCTTTT